CATATTGAGTTTTATATTGATGTTGTTTTCGAATAATATTTTCACGACCATGCATATGTATAATTTTCATACTTTTCTTCAATTGTTCATAATAATCATTTGGTTTACGAAATGTAAAGGAAGATATTTGTCCATCAGTAGGTAATCTTGGTTCTCTGCCAAATAATAATTGAAATGGTGAATATGGAGTTGTTGAGTGTGTTCCTGTATTGTATGCAAATACCACAGGTAACAGAAATTCATTCCAATTATTATCTTCTTTATTTTCAAATTTAGCGATTTGAGGAACAAATGTCGCGTTGAATCTTTCGATCATTCCATTTGGTTGAGGATGATATGTGGTTGAATATATGTGATTATATCCAACTAATTTTGACATAGCTTCCATTAATTGATTGTGGAAGTGCGTTCCTTGATCAGATAATATAACTGCCGGTACCCGGTACTTGCAAATGAATTCATTAAATAATGCCTCAGCGGTAGTTTGAGCTGAGCAATCAGGTACAGCAGCAGCAACCACCCATCTTGTGAAATAATCCGTAAGACATAATACATATTTATTACCACGTGGAGTTTGCTTAAATGGACCACAATAATCCATGCCAACTAATTGAAATGGTCCTTCAGAAGGTGGAATTGGTTGTAAACGACCAGGTATCTTCGATCTACTAATATTATATTGCTGGCACGGTAAACATGATTGTATGTATTGAGTGATGGATTGTTTCATGTTTGGCCACCAATATTTATTTTTAATTTTCAAATATGTCCTTTGAACTCCAAAATGACCAGTAAGAGGGTCACTATGATAAACTTGTAAAAGATCATTAATCATAGATGAAGGTAAATAAATTAATTTTTTCTTCATATTACAACCTTCACGCATAATCATTAGCTTAAATAATAAACCATCTTTGAATTCATAAGAACTTTTTACTGGATTATTCATAACTTCTGCAATTTTTTGTTGAATAATCGAATCTTTTCCTTGTTCAATTTTTAATCGTTCTATATCCAGTGTATTTTTTGATTTAATTTGTGATGAATCTTCTTTCGTTTGATCAATTTCTTCTTCTATTGATGGTAATGTTGAATTTTGATCTTGTTTTAATTG